CGGCAGGCCATGGAGCCCGAGAACATCGTGGCCAACACGCAGCTGCTGAGAGCGCGCCAAGGTGGGTGCGCGGCGGGCTCCCGGGTACCCCCGAGGAACCCCGACGACCCGGAGAACCCCGATCCCCGCGAACCCTGATGTCCCGGAGAACCCCGATTCCCGAGAACCCCGATGTCCCGGAAAACCTCGATACACAGGGATCCCCGACATCCCGGGGAACCCCGGCGACCCGGAGAACCCCGATCCCCGGGAACCTCGACGTCCTGGAAAACCTCGGTACCCCGGGGACCCCGACGTCCCGGAGAACCTCGATCCCCGGGAACCCCGACGACCCGGAGAACCCCGATCCTCGAGAACCGTGACGACCCGGGAACCTCGATACCCCGGGAGCCCCGACGTACCGGAGAACCCCGATCCCCGGGAACCCCGATGTCCCAGAGAACCCCGATCGCCGGGAACCCCGATGCCCAGAAAACTCTGATCCTCCCGGAGAGCCCCAACTGCTTCCCCCCAGTGAACGCGGATCCACCCGGGGTCCGCGCAGAGGCCCTCAGCGAGTGGTCGCCTTGGGCCCCTTCCCATGCCGCACCTCCGAGCCCCGGTGAAGGTCGCTGCACTCCTCTCTTCCTAGTCTAACCCAGTTTCCTGTCCCTTCGGTGCGACTTCTGTCACGGTGTGGCTTCAGCATGGGCCGGCGGTGTCCTGTTGGTGTTGGGACAGCCGACCTGTCCTGGGAGTCGGGAACCCAGCAAAAAAGAGCCGGGGTCTTTACGGTCTTTAAAGGGCAAAGAAGAGTAGCCTGGAAACTACCCTGGGCGAGACCCTTCCGTTAATGATTTTGGACCCTGCTCTTTTTTTTTTGAGTTGGAGTTTCACTCTGTTGCCCAGATTGGAAGGCAGTGGCAGGCTCCTGCCGCAGCCTTAATCTGCTGGGCTCAGGCGATCCTTCCACCTCAGCCTTCCAAGTAGCTGGAACTACAACCATGCCCCCCTACGACCGGCTAATTTTTTGATTTATTGTAGAGACGAGGTCTCACCAAGTTTCCCAGGCTGGTCTCCAGCCCCTAGGCTCAGACAGTCCTCTTGCCTGGGCCTCCCAAAGTGCTGGGATTACAGGCTGAGCCACTGTGCGGGAACTGGACCCTGCTGTTTTAACATAACTGCTTGTTTTGAGGTTTGAAACAGAGGCTTTTTGGTGAGTAAAATGCGCTTTAGCACGATGTTGTGACAGATGGGCAAGTTGGTGAGAATTCACCCTGTTATCAATACGGAAGCATCAGTTGGCCCAGCCCTTCTGCAGGGAGACCCCTGTGGTCCTCTGTGTGTCTCCCTTTCTTGCCTCTCAAGAGAACTGGTGACAGAACCGCCGACCCCAAGTTCCCAGCTCCTTCACTCCTGTGGAGTGATGTTTTCCTTTTTTTTCTCCGTGTTGAAGCAGCTTGTTGGTCTTTGTGCTAGGAACAGGGTAAATGCTGGCTGGAGGTGCTGGAGGTGCCACACTGGCCAGCACTGCATATTTAAGACAATCTTGAGCTCAGGCATGGTGATGTGTGCCTGGAGGCCCAGCTACTCTGGAGACTGAGGTGGGAGGATTGCTTGAGTCCAGGAGAGTCCAGCCTGGGCAACACAGCAAGACCTTGCCTCTTAAAAAAAAAAGTTGAAAGCAAGAGACTCCCTCCTCTCTATATTTCTATGTACCAAATCACACTGTTTTGAATAGAAGAGCTGAGGGTGGGTGGAAAGAAAACTGGGTCGTGGTTTTCCCTTAATACAGTTAGGGAGTCCCAGAGCAGCATGTGTTCTCTTCAACCTCCCTTTCAGTGGAGCATAAATCATTCAAGTGCTCTATAATTGCTAAATAGCATAAAGCCAGTATTTTCTGCCACATAGCCCAGGACCACAGTGATAGTTTCAACAATGAGTTTTTTTTCCCCCTGAAGTATCTCATATTAACTCCATGGTTTTGTGATTCTTATGAGGACTGCCCCCAGTGATCAAGAGTATTTACTCCTGTGTCCAAAAAGTCATTTTGCACAGTTTGGTTAATGTTTAGAGAAGTTGAATATGAAATATCAGAAATATATGGATTTATACTGATTGTTGGTTATAATTTAGGGCTGTTGATAGCTGTATTTATAACTTTAAAAGTATCTCCCAGAAAGTACCAGGAAGTATCTTCCTGGACACATGCCTGTTCATGGGTAGCTCTTTTTTTTTTAGTTAGTTTCTCTTATGTATTAGAAATTAACTTTTGAGCCAGGCTCGGTGGCTCAGCCTGTAATCCCGCGCTTTGGGAGGCTGAGGTGAGTGGATTGCCTGAGCCCGCGGGTTGGAGACCCGCCAGGGCAACTTGGCGAGACCTCATCTCTACAATAAATCAAAAATCTGCTGGGCGTGGTAGCACACACCTGTAGTTCCAGCTACTTGGAAGGCTGAGGTGGAAGGATCGCTGGAGCCCAGCAGGTCGAGGCTACGGTGGCAAAAAAAAAAAAAAAAGAAATTAACTTTTGAAGTGAGTAGGCATAGTGCAACAATTATGCTGGCCCTAGGAAGTGCAGTGTTGGATTAATATTATTGTTGAGTCCAGTCATTTCCTAGATTTATTTCAGATAGAATCAATCACAATCTTTCTCCTCACCCTTTCTGCTCTTTGCTATGGTCTTATGTTTGTATCCCCTCAAAATTCTTATGTTGAAATTCTGACTACCGAGGTGATGGATTAGGAGGTGGGATTTTCGGAGGTGAGTCGTGAGAGTGGAGCCCTCCTGAGGTGTTAGTGCCTTTGTAAAAGGGACTGGAGAGACACCCCTCACTTCTTCCACCATGTGAGGGACACAGCAAGAAGGCACCAGCTAGGAACCAGAAAGTGGGACCTCACCGTTTGTTGGGAAGCCATTAGTGTAGAGCCAGCTGGAGTGTGAATTGCGGTTGGCAGCTGCACCCCTGACAGTGAGCCCCTCCCTGCGTTGGGACTGGGCCCTAAGGAGAGCATTTAAGCGCTAGGGCAGACCCGCGTGTCCGCACGGAGGCCTCCCCCAGCTGACCCTGGGCCGGTGGAGGGGGAGGCTGAATCTGTCTTATCTTGGACTTCCCAGCTTCCAGAACGGTGAGAAATAAATTTATATTGTTTGTAAGCTACTCAGTTTATGGTGTTTTGTTATAACAGCCCAAACAGATGGTCTCAAATAGAAGACTGCTAGAATCTCTTCTTGGCAAATTAGGCTGCACCGATAGCATCCGTGTGTCACTATGCCAGACACACTTTCAGAAAGTGTGAAATGTTCATACTGTTAATAAAATAAAACACAAAATAATTGCTTTTTCAAATTTAGGTTTTTTTTCCTGTATAATTTGTTAAGTAACTTATGACCTTTAAATAAACTTATGCTTTTCCACATTATACTTCTAAGGAGACTTAAACACCATTTTAACTCTTGGATAAATTGAAAACATAAATACAGAGAGGAATGTATGATATGTGCATTTAATGTGGATTTTGGTCGTATATGTAGCAATTCTGTTCTGATTTCAGGTGGCAGTGTTACTTTAGCAGTTTCTTTAGCACCAGAAGCATAGTTAATACACCTGTTACCATTAATGTTATCTTTTGCTGTGACTTCCTCCCTAGAATTTTTGCTAACTTAAGCAAATAGGAAAATTATGGAAAAGATGTGGGGTAGCTCAGAGAACCAAAGAGCCTAATAACCAGGCTGGAAAAGGACAGGAACCAGGATCCATTTATTCATTTGGCAGATATTTGTGAGTACCTGTTGTATGCTGGGAATGTTCTAGGTGCATCTACAGCAATAAACATGTTCAGAAATTCCTGCCATTTTGGAAACTACATTCTTATAAGGGAGATAGTCTTTAAACAAATAAGGTATAATAATATATTAGCAGGTGATGAGTGCCACGGGAAAAACTAAAGCAGGGGTGAAGGTAGGAAGTATCCAGGTGGTGTTGACACTTGCGATTTCAGGTAGTTTTAGACAGGGAGCTGCTGACTGGTAATCACATCTCAGCTGTCACTGCTGCTGTGACAGCAGATTCCTCTTTTTTAACTGGATTTTGCCTCACCCCTTTCAGCAGTCATTGTCTTGGGAGAGCATCTATTGGCTAGCTTGGCTCCCTTTCCCTCCCTGCATCCTTGACTAGGGGAGAGCCAGGAATGTGGACCGACAGCCCCATCAAAACACACACAGTGGGGGAGAAGTAAGAGAAGGGCTGCAGATGAAGCCAACAAAGGGTCATTGCAAGGGCACATTTACATGACATGGTAAGCAGACGTGTGTCGTATGTGCTAGGGAAAGAGGGGTGGCTGGGAAAATGAAGAGGAAAGACCAGATCAGAGAGATGTTGAAGGTAGAAGTCATAGATAGAAGAGTGATTGGAGAGAATCCTTAAAGCTGCCTTCAAAACTCCTACTTGAGGAGGTTAAAAGAATGCTGTTTCTAAAAGTAGTTTATCAATACTTTGATTCCAGAGGTATAGTAGCCAGCGTTTTTATCTCCTTCATTGCACTTAATTGTTCCCACACTCAAAAAACTATTTAATGCATTTTTGTTGTATAAATTAACAACTTGTGTGCTATTTTGGACACGTTCTTGTATGCTCACTATTGCAACCTTACGTGCAGTGGGCCCTTGTTGCTTTTTCTTCTTGTAGTTTTCTCTGCTTCTTCTGGCTTGGAGGCACTCTCTCTGTCCTTTGGGAACTTGAAACTTGAGGTTCATAGCACAGTGCAGCTAATGATTCTTCAGCTAAATTGTAATCTGTTTAAAGGCAGTACATAACTCTTAATTATTTTTATCTCTTTCAGTGTGCTAACCATATAATTGGCACTTAGTAAACACTTGGAGATTAAGGAGGTGATTTGTTATTTTTTTGTTAAATTCAAGAAACAGAATGTGAAATATATGTGGAAAACTGAAGGATTGAATTGATATGGAGGGAACAAAGCACATCCCAAGTTTGGCTGTAGACCCTAGTGGTAAATAAGAGTGACTGACATTAGTAAGGGTTTGCACTGTCCAGGTATCATGCTAAATTCTTTACAGGCAT